GGTGCATTCTCGATCTTTGTATCTGGTCCAGACAGTGCTCATCTCAAGAATATTAGTAAGTGGTTGCACTACAACTATTGAATGGATATCTGTCAACGTTAGCATGAGTATTTAATTGAGTTTAGCATATCCACAAATAAAAACTTGTTTTTTAAGATAACATTTGTGTTACAAGAAGAAAGTCTTACATAAACAGCCACATTAAATCCATCAAATAACAGAATATTGTGAATAGGATTATATCAATCTCCTTGAATAAAGACCCATTTCAGTCGATCGCTAATGTGATGTGAATAATATGCAAATCGGCATTAATCCCTGTTCGTGACTGTGAAATGAAGAACACTTTGCTATTTATAACAATCTACTCTATTACTCAATGTTCCTATAAAAAAAATGTTGCAAACATTTAAATACAGTGTATCGTAGATAAAAAGAATAAACATATTCTTACTCTGTATGGGTCTAAAAGATATCTTTACGTATTTTAATTTTTGAATTAATTACAATAGTAGGAGGATTAGACTATAAATAAACAACTTTTTCTTATCTAAAACGTTGGGACATTATCCATTTGGATATAAAGAAGTTATTTCAAATCCATTCGTGACATACGCTGTCGAGGGTTCTAGTGCAGAAAAATGCTTATAGATTCTGTTTTCGCTCTCCATTTACGGCTTAATTATTTCATTGAGAGTGATATTATAGAAGTCATTTCTTCAGAAAGGTGGGCTCAGCTTCGACATGCTTTTCGATATTCAGGGTGTATGAGAGATGACTTATGATGCTCAATTTTCTTTCTTACATCCAGATGATTCGTTTCTCCCTCAGTCAATCCAGATCTATCACGAATCTCGACTGCTATTTTTGTTTTTATCACATAGATTATCCATCAGTTATCGAAATACCATATTCATCAGATGCACAATCCAACTATTCATCAGAATTGACTACGGATAGTCAAACATATTCTCGAGACTGTCGAAAATCAAACTATTACTATGAAACTATACGAATGAATGTAGTGGAAACTGGATACTATGCTTTGAGTAGTAATAGCAGTATGAATACATTTGGTGATATTTACAAAGATGATTTTAACCCAATGAATCGTTTCGAGAATCTACTTTCACAGAATTATCGAAGCTGTAGTTATCAAGATTTCAAGTTCATTGTTTATCTTTACACTGGTACTACATACATATTAGTGGTGACAACATCTTCTCCAAATATGACAGGAAACTTCTCCATTCGGACATTTGGCCCAAATAGCATCACTCTTGATCGTTATAGTAAGTATTTTATATTATTTTATAATTCATCAACAGAGAAATACAACATCCCACTGAACTCGATTTTTATTCTTGAATAATAAAAGATCAGAGAACTTCAAATAAATCGTATAATTCAATAGAATTATTGGCAAAAAATAGGATCAAATCGGAACTCTTTCTTTTAAAAATGGGAAATTTTCTTCCAATCAGATAAGATTAAGCCTCAGTATTGCAGTTTAGTCGTGATTAGATGGATTGTACGAGTATAATCAGTTGAATAAATTAATACAACTTTTCTTCTCACATCAACGATATATTCGAGAAAACCTATTCTTTAGTGATTTCACACTATTTATGATGTTATTACTTCACCGTCTTTGATAATTTATCGAGTTCATATGCAGAAACATCTTTATAACACTGAGTACAATCATCACGAGATATTGAACACAAAATAGGAATATAGAAATTCAATCTTGGCAGCACATACTATGTTAAATGACTTTCATAAACTATTGTTACTTATAAACTTCCGTTGATGTAGCTTTATCAAGTTGAGAATGATTGATCTCATCTCTTAATGACCGAGTATTCCTTTCTTTAGCTCAAATTGTGACCAGTTGTTTCATCGGTCAAAAATGTCAGTTCTACAAAAAAAGTATTGGTATCATTCTTGATGATATTTTACGTGACGAAATTCGATCGAACATGATACTGGCTGACCAAACGATATTGATCAAAATCATTGCGGCTTTAACGATGATTATGTTTGTTGGAGGTTTAATTAATAGTATTTTGTCTCTACTAACATTTCAAGATAAAGAGCTACGAAAAGTTGGATGTGGCATCTATCTTTTAGCATCATCAATTACTTCTTTTCTTACAATTAGCATGTTTACAGTGAAGTTCTGGTTTGTGGTTCTTACTCAAATGAATCCATCGATTCGTCTTTCTGTTGTTCGAGGAGGTTGTGTATCGATCGAACCTCTTCTCAAGCTTTGTCTTTATTTGGATGCTTGGCTCAATGCTTGTGTGGCCATTGAAAGAGCGATTCTCGTTTTCAAAGGAGTTAACTTCAATAAACAAAACAGTCAACGGATTGCTCGATGGATAATCCTCATCTTACCATTCGGTATCATGGTTTCAATCATTCACGAACCTATATATCGAGAATTGCGTGTGATAAAGACAGAGACAAACAAAGTAGATATCGATAGATGGTGTATAACGCGTTATTCTCCTTCTGTTCAACAATACAATACAATCATCCTATTTTTTCATCTTGTCGGTCCATGTATTATCAATCTTTGTTCTGCTTTATTCATCATATTCGGATCAGCTCGACAACGAGCAGCAGCTCAGACAAGACGAACTCTAAGAGAACATATTTGTGATCAACTTAGTGAACACAAACAATTATTAATTAGTCCGATTATTCTTCTGATTCTGTCCTTACCCCGTCTGATTATGTCAATGTTATCAGAATGTGTCAATCCATCAAACCATCGATGGTTATTTATTTCTGGTTATTTCATTTCATTTACTCCATCGATGCTTATCTTTATTGTTTTTGTCCTTCCTTCAGCATTGTATAGAAAAACATTTCAAGAAGCATTCAGACGATGGCGACGACTGATTCATCAATAATCAATGTTTCTTCATTTTATTAGAACTTTTCTAATCTATTGATATATGGTATTCGCTTCAATTTGACAATTAATCAGGAAATGTCGCTCAAACAGAACATTTTCCGTCTTTTTCATAGACTATCGAATAATGAAAGACAAATTTGATAAATTTATGGTGATATTATTTCTAACCAGTTGAAAAATGAAGAACGCTTGGCGTGAAGGTGAAATCTCACAAGTTTCGAAAATGTTGTTTCTGAAAAAAGTTTTTATACAAATTTCTCAGCTTGCTATTTAATAAAATTTTATGTCAGTGTAGTTTTCATCCCTAAAAATATTATATATAAACTAACAATGATTAGACAAAATGTCGAATTAACGATAAAACAGAATTCAAACCTACTTAACATCTCAAAATTAGTGTCTGAGTTAGTTTTTAAAAATGATCATTTTAGAAGGTAGTGGTGAGACTTGTTTAACACTTTCATCGAGTATTGTTAACAAAATGAATAAGATTATATTTAAGGGTGTTGAGGGTGTGGGTGCAAGTGATGAATGAGAAGAATACACACCCACATCTTTCTTTTATTTATATACTTTCAATTAAAAAATGAATATCTGTTGAATATCAACGACTCATTACCAGAAAGAATATTAACACATAGATATATATGATTGTATAAAGGAAAATATATATTAAAGATTTATCTATTGATATTCATATCGACTTATAAATATTCTCTTTTTGAGTATTAAAAATCTTATAAAATGTCATTTTCATAGAATCTTTTATCATATCAATATTGACATCATTTGGACTTTATTTCAAATCATATATGGATAATAATATTATTGTTGATCTTTTAATTATTATTATTTCCTTAAATTTTCATAAATAAATATACATTTGAATTATCTATCTTTTATAATTTAAACAATTAAATTGATTTATATTAAATATTGATGATTATTATGATATTTAATCATTACAAACATTTAATTTTCAAATGTATTTTATTATATTCAATATGATGTGAAATAGTTTTATTATCTAAAATTTTTGGTTTTAATTATAAAGATCATTCGTTTCAATCATCGAAGATATTTGGTAGTATCATTCTTCTGCAGCTTTTCATAATGAATCTTTTGAAAGAGAAAAGATCAGACTTCTATTATGTTGAGATATATATATAATACTTTCGTTTTTGCAATTAAATTTGATCATATTATACTTACTTATTTCGATATTTTTTCTTTTTCAAATCAAATGTATTGTTAGAAGAACTTAATCGATAAAAGAGAAATCAAAAGTGATGTTACAATCTAATCGAGAATTGACAAAAAAGAATATGCTTGAAAGCATAGTAATAGTTTGTTGATTTAAAAAGAAAACGCAATTATTTATATATTTCCATTTCTGCAATACAATATATCCTGAGAGAATACTTGTGTGATATCCCCTTGTTCATAACTTAGAAATAACACATTTCGATATAAGTCAAAAGAGCAGAGAAGAGTGACTTATAATAACGAAAAGGAAAAAAAATACTATATGACTATATATAGAAGAAAATATCATGTGATCATATATGTGGTTAATGTTGCGAACGAATCATTTATTTGTTCGCTTACAAGTGATATAGAAGGAACTCTTATTCACATCGAAATAATTACAAAATATCACAAGTTTAACAATTCAGTTCTTTGAAATAGTTCCATTTTGGTAAGTTAGTCTTTTTAAATAATATAAAAATGAGAAGATGACGATACACTTGAGTCAAGTACAGATTAAGATTAATATATCATCTATTTCGAGGGTAAAGTTATGAGTGCAGATCCGTGTTTAACCTTCAACTACATTCAAATCTACATCAGTTTCATCGATGAGATTTTGTTGTACAAAAAAGTTCGTTTTAGATTTCTTTTTACTACTGAACAATGTTTTTATTATCGTTCAGTTATTAAGTTTACATCTAGAGAACTAGATATGAAATATTCATTTCTTCTAGAAATTTATAGTCAAAGACATGGCAATGACAAACAATAAAACACATTGTTTTACATGTAATACAGATAAAATAACATATCTTTGTAATGGATGTTTCAAAAAATTTTGTTTATTGGATTTAACAAGACATCGTCAAATATTAAATGAAGAATTACATCTTATTATTAATGATTATAATCAATTTAAAGAAAGATTTGATGACCAAAAACCGACTTCGCATGATCTTTCTTTAATAGATCAGATTAATCAATGGGAAACAGATTCAATTGACAAAATTAAACAAAAAGCCCAGGAGTGTAGAAATATTATCATTGACTATTCACAAATATTTTTGAATAATACTGAAAAGAAATTTAATGATTTATATGAACAACTAAAACAATTTCACAATGAAAGTGAATTTAATGAGATTAATTTAAATTATTTAAGACATGAATTAATAAAAATTAGAGAAGAATCAAATAATATACCAAAGACTTCTATTTGGCTAGATTCTCAACCATTTATTAATGAAATTTCAGTTATTTTATTAGAAAACAGTAAGTTTTTAAGAAATAATTTCTAAAAGAAGCGATGATAAAAAAAAGAATAATAAGATATGAAATAAAAGTTAACTAAATTTGATTAATAACAACAAAACTGAATTATATTAAAGTTCTTGAGAAATTAGAAAAATAAAATATAATTTGTCTCTTTATTAAATATATTTATTAACGTTTCATTCAAAATTAACCTTTTCGTTCTTCTTCTTCTTTTCATCAAGATCGTTTGTTTGTATTCTTTTTTAGAACCAAAATGGGATAAATGGAAACAAAATGCGATCACTGTGGCTGCTGGAAATGGTAATAAACAAGAATTAGATCAACTCTATAGCCCTCGAGGAATCTTTATTGATAAAAAGAAAAATATTTTCATTGCTGATTGGACAAACCATCGTATAGTTGAATGGAAATGTAATGAAAAGGAAGGACAAACCATTGCAGGTGCCGATCGATGGGGAAATCATATGCATCAATTGTATGGTCCAACTGATGTGATTGTTGATCAACTAAGTCATTCGATCATTGTTGCTGATCGTGGATATAGACGAGTAATTCAATGGTTCAATAAAAATCAACATATTCTCATTAAGAATATTCACTGTTATGGCTTGGTAATGGATGAATATGGATTTCTTTATGTCTCTGATTGGAAGAAGAATGAAGTGAGACGATGGAAAATGGGAGAATACAATGAAGGAATTGTGGTGGCAGGTGGAAATGGGCAAGGAAATCAACTCAACCAACTTAATTGTCCGGGTGATATCTTTGTTGATAAAAATCAGTCTGTTTATGTATCAGATAGAGACAATCATCGCGTGATGAAATGGAGAAAAGGTGCAAGAGAAGGCACAATTGTGGCTGGAGGAAACGGTAAAGGAAGAAATCTCAATCAAGTATCTTTACCTCAAGGAGTATGTGTTGATGATTTGGGTCAAATATATGTAGCAGATTTTAGGAATCATCGTGTAATGCGTTGGTGCGAAGGAAAAGAAGAAGGTGAAATTGTTGTTGGTGGAAATGGTAAAGGAAATCAATCAAATCAAATGAGTTGTCCCACAGGTTTATCTTTCGATGATGAAGGCAATCTTTATGTTGCTGATTATAAAAATCATCGAGTTCAAAAATTTGAAACAATCGTGTGAATGAAATTTTAGTTTTGAAAAAAAAAGAAAAATTGTTTTTGTTAAATAAATAACGGAGAAGCAAAAGAAAAAGTGAAGTTCTATCATTGAAAATGAATGGAAGGGTGTGGGTGTGAGTGTGTTCTTTTACAAGATAGTAAGAAAGATTTAATCGATAAACACGAAAGTCAAAGTAGTGTTATAGTTTTATCGAAAGTTGACGAAAAAGATGATGCTTGAAAGAGTCTATAATAGTTCATTGTTTCAAGAAGAAAACACGAATATTTATACGATGAGTAGTGATTACTTCTTCGACTATTTTCATCTCTGCAATACGATATATCCTGAGAAAATACTTATGTGATATCCCCTTGTTCAGAACTTAGAAATAACACATTTCGGTATAAGTCAAAAGAGCAGAAGAAGAGCGACTTATAATAACGAAAAGGAAAAAAGCACTATATGACTATATATAGAAGAAAATATCATGTGATCATATATGTGGTTAATGTAGACAACGAATCATTTATTTATTCGGTTACAAGTGATATAGAAGGAACTCTTATTCACATCGAAATAATTACAAAATATCACCAGTTTAACAATTCAATTCTTTGAAATAGTTCCATTTTGGTAAGTTAGTCTTTTGAAATAATATAAAAAATTAGCAAAAAAAGAATATTACATAATAACTATCTTGAGAATGACAGTGGTGATGATAACAGTATAAGACTGGGTTCAAATGAACATGCTGATACAGTTGGGTGCATAAGAGATTAATCATCTATTTCGAAAGGTAGCGATCTATGTTTAATCTTCATCGACATCCAACTCAGCATTAAAACGTCCTTTCATTGAAAAAACATCACTAAAATTATTTGAATTTTTATTTAAAATTAAAAACACAGCATCTTTTGCTACTGAACAATATTTTTATTATCATTGAATCATTAAGTTTACATCTAAAAATGTAGATAAATAGATTATTCATTTCTTCTAGAAATTTATATTCAAAGACGCGGCAATGGCAAACAATACAAATCAATGTTTTACATGTGATAAGAGAAAAACAACATATTCTTGTGAAGGATGTTCAAAAAGATTTTGTTTTAAGGATTTAACAGAACATAAACAAATATTAAATGATGAATTATATGATATTATTAATGATTATAATCAATTTAAACAAAGATTTGATGACCAAAAACCGACTTCGCATGATCTTTCTTTAATAGATCAGATTAATCAATGGAGAAGAAATTCAATTGACAAAATTAGACAAAAAGCA